GGGGTTACCGCCTATGCGCGGAGTCTCATTAAAATCGAATCTTTAGGAAAAATAAACTATGTTTTGAAAGACTCAGTACTCCGCAATCCATACTCCGCACTCCGTCTTTCCAAACTGACCTCTGAACTCAATAATCATTTCTATATTTAGAGAGCCAAACACGCACGTGCTGTATGTGTGGTTTCAGCAGTTCAGCACAGTGACAGAGTGTTACAGGCTTCTGTGGTTTCAGTGTACTAGTGTACTGAGTGTAGCCATCTATTTTGTGGTGTAGCACCTTATACCGTCGCTGTATTAATGAATATACCGCCTACATAATTGCTGCCGTAGCGAGCGAGCGTGAAGCGAGCGAGCGAGGCAGCAGCATAATCTTTATGTATATGTATATATATATAAGGCAGATGAAATCTCGATCGTTTCGGCGTATTTCGGCCTACCACAATGCACTGCTCCCGGGTCGGCAGGCTATTCTTGCCTAATAAACAGGCATAAGGCAAACAAGCCATGTGATCATCTTTCATCTTTGGTTTTCTTTTATGGAAAGCCATAGCTGGCGTAAGTACTGATCAAACGGCATTTTGTCGATACGCAGTGGTTCGAGCGTTATACGCGGTGGTTTTGCTATTATACGCAGTGGTTCGAGCGTTATACGCGTGGTGCTTTCGCCATTATACGCGGTGCGTTCGCCATTATACGCAATGGTTCGAGCATTATACGCGTTGCTTTCGTCATTATACGGGGTGCTTTTAACACAATTTCCATATTCTTTCCATGTATATAATCTCACGATTGCTTAATAAATCTGGTAGGCCTATGTGGCTGTGCTTTTTGCCTCTGGTCTGCAATGACAATGACATGCTTTTAAAAAGGTTTATTTATAAAAAGGTGACTGCACTTTGTGAGTTCTTATATATTATCATATAGTGTTGATTTATTAGTAATAAATCTGTGTATACAACATAGGTATATAAATTAATATAACGCAGCAAATGCGCGCCAAGCAGTATAAACGCGGCTGAAATACGATATTAAAAGCAAATTTATAGCCTATATAAATTTAAGTTAATGAGACAAGGTGTGATGGTAAGATGAGTAGGTAGATATGGTTTATATCAACCTAATCTTTGACAGTTTGGTCAAAGATCTTGACAGATAGGTCAAAGATCTTTTTCTGCCAGCTAGCACACATTCACGTGAACAAACCGTGAAACATACTGTGAACCAATTGAAAACCTTGTATGACTCTGTTCTGTGCTTTGACCAATCACAGGGCATAACACAGCCCATCCTAATGCACGAGTTTATGCAAAATAACGTAATTTACTCTGAGATGTCGACAGAGTAACATCAAGAAAGTGGAGGAAAAATGAACAACTTGAGTCATTAAATCTTGAATGTGCCGTATATGATTTAATTATGTTTTAGGATTTAAAGCCTTTAAAAATGCTTTGTCATTTGTATTTGTACTTGTACTGCATCACAACGCAGTGCGTAAGTGAACAGATTCCACATGTGAGGTTGTCTTGTATATATTTTGCCTTCTTTGATAAACATTATTAACACGCAAATTTAGTGAGACGCACACTCGCACATGTTAATTGTCATTGCCCTTTAACCCTTGGTCTAAATCATATGATTATTGAAGCGGGCCGTTTTGACTTTGCCCTTTGGGCCATTTTGACTTTGGGCAGTTTTGACCTAGCACCGTATTTGTGGGCAAATTGTCTATATAATTTTATATACTAGATATCACAGCCATACCTGCCATTTTGATCTTTCCTCGCGTTAGATAAGATGATAAGTACACTCATTCTTGTTAGCCATCGTACCTGTTCGGCTCGAATCTTCGAGCGCCGAGTTATCATACGGCACATTCGAGTGTATAAATTATGGATGATTCCAATTCATTACGAATATTTCTTACTCTTATTCTTTAAAATATTAAGAGGTAATTTTTTTTTAATGTCACGTATTTGCAATGAAAAG